ATCTCTCTCTCTCTCTCTCTCTCTCTCTCTCTCTCTCCAGTACATCCTTGAGTAAAGACAATCCCACAAAGCTTACCCAGACACCCTCGCACACTTTGACGAATTCACACAGTCATAAATTCTTACAAAACAACAGCATGAATAAACGATACTGAGAGAACATAATAGATACTGAGAGAACATAATAATATTTGTATTGGGAATGTCGGAAATTACCCTGTGGATTCCAGTCCAACACTTCGTTCTTTCTTTGTTAGCGGCCTCTGTAAGTTAAGGTTGAACCCAATTGACAGGATTGAAGCAGCGCATTTAGTAAATTATCAAAATTGTGTCAATGGAAGTGTTAAAGCATTTATAATCATAAATCATAAACGACGCGCTCTGACGACACACTTGTCAGGCCTTATGGTTGAGACTGGGAGAAACTAGATCTAGTCTGGAGAAGATGAGTTGGCCAGGCCATGACCCCAGTTCGATTCCCGAGTGGGCAGAAGTTTTCAGGATGTTGTTTCCCTCAGCCTGGGTTTGCCCTGACAGGCAAAGTCGGGGGCCCACATCCTAAATGATCTAGACTCAGGGATGCCACTTTTCCGCTTTTTTCCCAGTATTTTCGATATTTTGATCCTGATCCGCCATTCCGTTATTGAGATCAAGATAGAATCTATAGTTGGGAAGAAGAAAAAAACCCACACCCACAACTTGCGTCAAATGTTCGAATAACGGAAAAACGAAGACTTTGCCATAAGTTCAATTAACGCGGAGAGAGAAAAACCCCGGAAGATTTGTTTGTCATTTCTCTCCATGTACACCCTTTGACCTTTGGGTTTCAAATTGATATTCATATGTTGGCGAGACCGTGGCGCGTGGATTTTCAGCTATTTTCAAAAAAGTTGAGTGGCATCCCTGTAGACTGTATTGATGGGAGTGTAAAAATACCTACACTGAAAAGGGAAAAAAAAAAAAAAATCCCAACCTGACAGCATAGCTATTAGCTTAGTCTTTGGATATCCTTGCGCAAGCTGTAGAAGAATTCTGTTGTACTTTAAACAAATACCTCTAAGCTTAGCATTTTTCAGATTGTTCTTCCTTTCCACAGCCCGCCATTTGCTTCTTTTTTTCCCCCCCCAGCACTATTTGTGCTCTTGCTTCAATGATGGGGAGTAAAAACACCCAGGTTAATGAAAGAAGATTGGTACATAATTTATCTGCGCTCTCTTTTCCTGATATGGCCTTCTTTTCTTTTTGTTGTGATCGTGTTGCTTATATTATTATATATCTTTGCTTTTATTCCTAATGCAACTTTTGTTATCTTACTTGTTCTCATGCGACGTCTTGCTTTTTCTCAGGAAAGTGGCGAAATCTCAAAAGTCTCAAGTGGAAGACATTGTAAGTACGGGATAGACTCTGTGCTCTCACATATGACTATAGTATTTCATATATTGAGGTTTGTTATCTTTTGTATTATGTCTGTCAGTTTGATGCTTCAACTCCCATTATTTTATTACGAAATCTCTGTGCTTTAAGTGTCAGAGTGATATGACAAATATTTGTAAAAATAGGATTTCATCTCACGGCTGGTACAATTTTTGTCGAGCAAAAAAAATATTTTAAAAAAATAAAATTTTAGGGTTTTTTTTTCTTATCCACATATGTGACCCTGACATTATAAAGCATTTGACCCCTCTTCCCGCGCACACGCTGCAACTAAAATTTCACCGCTGGTGCGTCGTGATCTCTAGATAACAAGATGAGATGTGCCATTCTCTTGACAATTAACGGTAGGGGGTGAATCTGCCATGTGCCTGGTCTTGTGCATTTCTTTAATTCTATTGGTTTTATAAATTTTTTGTTTCTAGTGGGGGGGG